GCATCGGCGCGTGAGGCGACGCCGACGAGACAGGATTGCCCGGGCTGCAGCGCGACAGTCCTCCAATCCATAGCCTTGGTCTACCGAGGGGTCACCGCCAAGCCACGGAGCCGCGCCAAAGCCAGCGACATTGCCAGTTCCCAAGGGAAAGATATCCACCTGAAGCCGACCACGGCCAACGCGCGGCTAGTGGGTGCCAAGGGCGCCGGCGACTGGCGCCCCGCGCGCCGTGGCCGCAACGGCGGGTCTCGAATGGCCGCGGCAATGCGCGGGGGCCAGGCGCAGCACTTCCTAAGACGGCAGGCTCGGGTGCCGTGGAGACGCGTCGTATCTCGGGCTATCTCCGACGGCGAAGCCCCGCGCTGGCCGCTGACGTCCACGGCTCTCCCTCCAAAGATGGCAACAACGATGGCGTGGATATCGACGCGGTGACGGGCGAGCACCGGCTCGATCCCACAACGAGATCCTACTAAATCTGACACTGGGGCGTTAGGAACATACCAGGCACGGCGTGCGCCCCGGGATGGCCCATCTTCGACGCGCCAGACAAGCGTCGAACGCGCGACGGCTCGCGCCTGCCGTGGGGGGTCGCAGCCCAGGGTTGCATGGCCAAACCAGACTCCTAGATGAGGGGTGAGTCTTTTTAAATGTCAGCGGTCAGACCCGGGGGGCTCTCGACAAACGCCCCGACGATGGCCGCGGGGTGCTGGTCGATATCGACGGCGGCAGTCCGAACCTGTGGCCAAATCACCTCAAGGACCGCGCGATCTGTCCCTCGCTGGCCGTCCAGGCCACCGAGGACGGCTGGGGACCCGATGATCCACGGCGAAGGAAATTCCCTCCCCGAGACGTCCTTCCAAGATGATGTGTCTGCGCCGACGTGCGATGCGACTGCAGTGCCTGCCCGTGCTGTGCCCCGCGCCTCTACTGCAACTGGGCTAGGCGCCAACGTCGCCTCCGTTGCCCATGGTGCTGACAAGGGCGCAGCGTGAGGTGGTCCACAGAAAAAATGGAAGGCGCGCTGCAAACGACTGGGCCTGCTCCTTCGCCTCCGCGAGTGGGGCCAGCGCCAGTGACGAGACCGCCCTCTTCGACGGGTTGCGCGGTCAAAATATCCACCCCGGCAACGTGGTTGGCAGGGCCGATGGCGAGGAACTCCACCGCAATGTGGCCCCTCTTCAGCTCCGCGGGTAGCCGCTGCAAGCTCGCTGCCAGGTGAAGCTTGCAGGGGCCTGCATCGACGTCGCACCTGAGGTTGACGACGCCAAACTGAACCCCAGGCCACCGCTGACGCCAAAACTCGACGGGCTGTTGCCGGGCTGCCGCGTGTCGGAAGTCCCCCCGAAGGCACTAAATCGAGTGCGCGGTCTGTCAGGCCCCTCTCGGCCAGCATGCGCACCGCCAGCGCTGACATTCAAGCGCCCAACCAGGGGGCCAGACCTCTACAACAACGCCGTGTTCGCGGCCAGCAGGCCCAACGGAATATCCTTGATCTGACAGTGGGCCCTCTGCGCTCGTCGCCCATGGGCGCGCCGTCGAACTGGGTGTTAGCGCGTGAAGGGGGACCTTGCGAAACTTGCTCGGTCTTAGAAGGCAAATGCGGAGAGGCGGCGGTCTTGGCGCCAAAGCCAAAGTGCTGCGAGACGACGCGCGAACCTTCCAAGGATGAGGCCCAGTGGGTGGACCGTGACAAACTTCTGCCCAACTCGACTGGGGCTGGCCATCCTGCGGTGTGATGCGTGGTGTTCAGGGCGCCCCCCCGTCGTGGAAACGCGTGCCAACGGGGTTCTTTCTCGGGCGCGCCCCGACCGCCGCGCGCGACCTGGGGGCCCTCGCTGCTGTCGCGCTGGGCCTACTACTTCGCCAGCGCGTGGCTTTTCCGTGCCGCGTTCAAGGCCGCGTGCGCGGCGTGGCAATTCGGTCTCCGCGCCGGCTGCCTCTGCGGGGGTGGCCGCGCCCAGCGGGGAAAAATCGAGACCGGCGTCGCCGTTGACCCATCCCCGCAGTGCAGATCGTGCAATGGGGGAAACGAAAACCAGGAGTGCTGAGAATCCGATAGGACTGTCCTAGAAATCATGATCGCTGAGCATCGTTGACGCGACCTGCCGCCGCATGCTACGCGCTGCAGCCTCCCAGAAGAAGACCCCCCAGCTCCTTGATCTCCTGGTCGCCCAAGCCGAGGGCGAGCCCCCGAAGCCGATCCGGCGCCTGGAACTGAAGGGCCCCGACGGCGACCCCTGCGTAGAAAGCACCGACGAACGCGGGGCCCAAAAGGCCCACGCTGCCAACGATGGAATCTGCCGCCGCCAAGCGCGCCCGCTTCCCGCGAGGGCTGACTTCGGAGTGCGCCCTGCCCCGGACCGCCAGCTCAACTTCTCTGCGAGGGTGCGCGGGCTGGCCCAGTCCACGCAGAGAGCTGAGACGCTTGCAGTGCTCCACCTCGTCGCCGCGGCTGCGCTGCCGGCTCGCGCATTCGTTGGCAACCGTGCCGAGATGGACG